TGGATTTTTGATGACAAACTCCAACGTTGACACCAACCCGAGTGAGATGGACAATGTGATAAGGCCTTCTAAAAGCTTAAAAAGCTGATGTTGGAAGTTCCAGTCCCAGGGCTGCCCAACTTAACTAAGTCTTTTGATCTTGACATCCATAAAAGGCAGGGATAACTCTCAGAGTACTGACCAAGATGGTAGGACCCAGGACCCATGAAAAGAGTGGTGAAATATTTTTTCTAAACACCATGATGCCATGGCAAGGGAGTCGCTCCTCTGTCTTAGGGCAGTGGCCACCACTTGTACAGCTTACTCAGGAAACCAAGAAGCTTATAATGGGCCAAGAGTTAGCTGTTCGGGTCCTGCACCAAGTGACAAATATATTGGAGGCCAAGAGGCATTACTGGTTAACAAGTGATGGAATGCTACACTATTGGGCCCTGTTGGTGAACACCCCCAACATCTGTGTAATCATGCTACCCTAATGCCCACTACAAAGGATCCCCTAATCCACAAGTGCTTCACCGTCACCGAGCAACTATATTCTGGCAGAAAGAATATGCAGAGTGAATCTCTTCCTAGTTTAGAAGACAAAGTGTTTGTAGATGGCAGTAACTTCATGGAAAGAAGCCAAAGAAGAGCAAGATATGTTTCCTACAGGAAACCATCAAAGCTAAGGACTTTCCCACGGGGACTTCAGCCCCAAAAGCTGAGATAATAACATTAACCAGGGCCGTAATACTAGGAAAGGACAAGGCCTTGACTGTTAATAAAGATTTGATACATGTGTTCTCTGTGGTCCATGCCCATGATGCAATTTGGAAGGAAAGGAGTCTTCCAAATGACAAGGAAATCAAATATACAACAGAAATATGAATACTGCTGAGGATGGTGGAATTGCTTATACAGATTATTGTAGTCTACTGCTGAGGTCATAAGGGGGGGTTCTGAAATAATAGAGAGAAAGAACCTGGCAGATGCCACAGCCAAAAGGGCTGCACAGTGAGGGGAAGTCCTCCATGTCCTTGCTTCCTTGGGTATTTACAAATATAATCTAAGTTACTACTCTGGAGAATTGCAGGAAGCCATGTGAGATGGGTATCATGAGAGTTCCTTGTCGGGGGGTGGGCCCTAAATACACGAGGCAGGATATAGGTGCCTAAAATCTGAGCTGGGCTATTATAAAGCATGCCCATGACTCCTCAAATTACAGAAAGAAGGTTATGCACACTTGGCTCAAGATAATTAGAACCCCAAGAGTAAAGGAATAAAGTGTTTGACCATGTGTCTACTGTCAGAAAAACAATGTTCAAACCAGATCTCCCATACCTCCTTTGGCCAAGGTGGTATAATTCAGGTGAACCATTCCTAGGGAAGACTAGCCAACTGACTTCCCTGTTATGCTTGTGTCTCCTGGAGGATTTAAATATCTCCTGGTGTTTGTCAACACCTTTACCAGTTGGATAGAAGCTTTCCCATTCTGGAATGAAAAGGCAGAAGTCATAAAAGCTTTGCAAAGAAAATTAACCCTTAGCCGGGCTCGGTGGCTCAGCCTGTAATCCCGCGCCTTGGGAGGCTGAGGTGAGTGGATTGCCTGAGCCCGCGGGTTCGAGACCCGCAACTTGGCGAGACCTCATCTCTACAATAAATCAAAAAATTAGCTGGGCATGATAGCGCATGCCGTAGTTCCAGCTACTTGGAAGGCTGAGGCAGAAGGATCGCCAGAACCCAGGTCAAGGCTGTGGTGGCCGGGAGCAGCCACTGCACTCCAGTCTGGGCAACAGAATGAGACTCCAACTCAAAAAATAAAAAAAAAGAAAATTATCCCTTGATTTAGTCTCCTTAAGTCCATCAAGAGTGATAATGGACCTGTATTCATTTCTAACACAGTGGCAAAAACTTCCCATGCCTTGAGCATAGAACTGAAGCTGCATGAACCCTGGAGATCACAATCCTCAGGGAAGACTGAAAGGGCTAAAAGAACTCTCAAGGGTATCCTAGCTAAGTTATGCTAGGAAGCCCAAGAGAATTGGTTGAAGCTGTTACCCATAGCCCTGGTTTGTGTATGAGCCACCTCAGAGGCAAAGTGGGGCTTAGCCCTTTTGAAATGTTGTATGTAAGGCCTATGCCTGGCATGGCAAGGCCCCTTTCCTGCCCAGACAATAAGATAGAAAGGTTGATAAAGCAGTCAGGTCTCTGGAATTTCAAGTCCACACTGTGAAAAAGTACCTACTTGTACTGTTGAACCCTAAGTTTTTGATGTTTAAAAAAGTTCTAGGAAGGTAGCCCCCTCAAAACAATTAACTTTGGCCAACTTTCCACACTACCTTATTAAAAACTTCACGGAGGGAGTAATTTATTTGCCGTTTTCTACATATGCCACGTAGAAAGACACATGATCAAGACTGTATCTATGCCAGGCATGCTGGCGTAAGCCTGTAGCCCCAACACTTTGAGAGGCAGAGGTGGAGGCAAGAGGACTGCCTGAGCCCAGGGGTTTGAGATCAGCCTGAGCAACTTGGTGTGACTTCATCTCGACCAAAAAAAAAAAAAAATAGCAAGGTGTGGTAGTGAGTGCCTGTGGTTCTAGTTATTTGGAAGGTTGAGGCAGAAGGATTGCCTAAGCCCAGCAGGTTGAGGTTGCAGTGGCCAGGGGCATGCCACTGCACTCCAGCCTGGGCAACAGAGTGAGACTCTGAATCAAAAAAAAAATTAAAAAAAGCATTTTTAAAAATAGGCAACAAAGAAAAAGAATACATTCTTTTTGAAGATTCATTCGCTTTTGAAGGTTATTTTCCCAAAAGTTTCATTAAAATATGACATTTCTTCAGTATGTGAAAATAAAGGGTGGGTGCAGTAGCTCACACCTATAATTCCAGCACTTTGGGAGGCAGAGGTGAGAGGATTGCCTGAGTCCAGGGGTTCAAGACCAGCCTGGGCAACATGGTGAGACCTCATCTCTACAATAAATTAAAAAATTAGTCAGGTGCGAGGGCGCACACCTGTAGTTCCAGCTACTTGAAAGGCTGAGGAGGAAGAATTACCTGAGCACAACAGGTTGAGGCTGTGGTGGCCGTCAGTGTGCCACTGCACTCCAGCCTGGGTGACAAGAGTGTGAATCTAACTCAAAAAAAAAAAAAAAAATATATATATATATATATATATATACACACACATATATATATAGTAGCTGGGCTCGATGGCTCAGCCTGTAATCCCGCACCTTTGGGAGGCTGAGGAGAGTGGATTGCCTAAGCCTGCAGGTTCGAGACCCGCCTGGGCAGCGAGACCTCATCTCTACAATAAATCAAAAACATCAGCCGGGCGTGGTAGCGCGCGCCTGTAATTCCGGCTACTTGGAAGGCTGAGGCGGAAGGATCGCCGGAGCCCAGCAGGTCAAGGCTGCAGTGGCCGGGAGCGGCCATTGCACTCCAGTCTGGGTGACACAGTGAGACTCAAAAAAAAAAAAAAAAAAAAAAAAAGACTTTTGTTAGTAGGGTGCTGTGGACCACACCTGTCAGTCTAGCACTTTGGGAGGTGAGGGGAATGCCCGAATCCAGGGGTTCAAGACCAGCCTGGGCAACTTGGCGAGACCTCGTCTCTATAATAAAAAAAAAAATTAGCCAGGCGTGGTGGTGTGCACCTGTGGCTCCAGCTACCTGGAAAGCTGAGGTGGAAGGATCACCTGAACCTAGCAGGTTGAGGCTGTGGTGGCTGTGTACTCCAGCCACCAGAGTGAGACTCCTACTCCAAAAAAAAAATAAGAATTTTGTCTATAAGTTGCCTGATAGATTGTATTTACTAAGAGCTTAATATAGGTCTTCAATATTCAAGCAATATAAACAGCTTTTCTATCTGAAACTAACACATGTCTATTATAGAACATGTAGAAACTTCAGAAAATTGAGGGAAAATATAAAAACTGCTCACATTCTTACCATCCAGAAATAACAATGTTAATATTACACTCTAGTTATCCCCAGTATATATCCTATACACACATACATAAACATTTTTGGGCCGGGCACAGTGGATCACGCCTATAATCCCAGCACCTTGGGAGGCCGAGGTGAGATTTGCCTGAGCCCACGAATTCGAGACCAGCCTGGGCAATTTGGCAAGACCTCAGCTCTACATAAATTAAAAAAAAAAAAAGTAGCTGGGCATGGTGGTATATGCCTATAGTTTCAGCTACTTGGAAGGCTGAGGTGGAGGGATCACCTGAGCATAGCAGGTTGAGGCTATGGTGGCCGTGGGCATGCCACTGCCCTCTAGCCTGGGTGACAGAGTGAGACTCCAACTCAAAAAAATAAAAAAATCAGGCCAGGCTCGGTGGCTCAGTCCATAATCCCAGCACTTTGGGAGGCCAAGATGAGTGGATTGCCTGAGCCCGCGGGTTTGAGACCCGCCTGGGAAACTTGACAAGCCCTCATCTCTACAATAAATCAAAAAATACAGCGTGCGCCTGTAGTTCCAGCTACTTGGAAGGCTGAGGCAGAAGGATCGCCGGAGCCCAGCAGGTCGAGGCTGCGGTGGCTGGGAGCGGCCACTGCACTCGTCTGGGCAACAGAGTGAGACTCTAACTCAAAGAAAAAACCAAAAAATCAAATATATGTACATTTTGTTAACCTTCTTTCTTATATCAGGAACATTTTCTTTTATCAATAATTATTCTTCTCAACTATTTTAGTGGCTGTATACCAATGAACATATTTATAAGACATTAGATCATAATATCTAAAAAGAAAAGGTTACACAGTAGTCACTGCTGGTGGGAGTGTAAACTGGTAGTCAATTTGGCAGTGTTCATGTCAAATCCCATGATACTCCAATTCTCTTCAGAAAATATATAATTGGTGCAAGGAGGCACAAAACAAAGAAACAAAACAGAGGTAACCTAGTCATGCCTTAAAAAGGAAACAGGATGAAAGAATGAGGGATAGAAGATAAAGACCACCTTTTACTACATTCCCTTTAATACCGCTCTGAGTCAAATAAGCAGAACTTACCAAAATTTTATCAGCCTTGGCTTCACTAATTCCCTTAATATTTATTAGCTCCTTCTTTGGTGCGTAGGCAACAGCCTCCACAGTATGGAATCCAGCTTCTTCCAATTTCTTCACATCATTGGCATTGATCCCACATTGCTGCAAGTGAAGAAAACCATGGATAAATTGAAGCTTTAGGGCCAAGCACAGTGGCTCACGCCTGTAATCCCAGCAATTTGGGAGGCCAAGGCAGGAGGATTACTGAACACCAGGAGTTTGAGACGAGCTTGGGCAATGCATTGAGACCTTGTCTCTACAAAAAATTAAAAAATTAGCCAGGCAGGGTGGTACATGTCTATAGTCCCAGTTTCTTGAGAGGCTAAGGTGGAAGGATTGCGTGATCCCAGGATTTCCAGTGTATTCCAGCCTGAGAGACTGAGCTAGACCTCGTTTCTAAAAAAATAAAATAAATAAAAAGAAGAGGGAAAACTACTTTTTATCAGGGCCTTTTAATATCACTTCTCCAAACAAACCAATCAAAGAGGCACCTCTTTCTCCCTATATTCAAGTCAGCTTTGATTTTGCTAGCCACCAAAACCATGACTTCTGTGAGAAAATGAGTTAGTAGAGGGATGTGAATGTATTCGGGGAGAACTTAAGAGAGGGGAGAAGCCGGGCTCAGTGGCTCAGCCTGTAATGCCACGCCTTTGGGAGGCTGAGGTGAGTGGATCGCCTGAGCCCGCGGGTTCAAGACCCGCC